GTTGTATTGAAGCAATCAAGTGATGAATAACTGTTTTCCAGTATGTTGTTTTGCAATGTTGTTGTTGTTTTTTTGTTGCATTGTTTTTCACCGAAGCAGCTAATAAAGTACGATGGAATACAATGTTGCATCTTTCTTGTCAGATTCTATAACAGAACGAAACAATAATGTCAGTTATAAATAAAGACAACAAATTGAATGAATTACGAAAACCTCATTTTATTTCTATTAGATCTGAAAATGTTGTGTAACACTACAACCTGAAACGACAAATAGATGTGTTTGCCTTTACAGGAGATAAAGAATAAAAAATTAACAACAGCTGTGAGATGGAATAGTCCAAATCACCAAAGTAAACTGGACCTGGGCTTGTTGCAGGGGTCTGAAGTTACTAAACATGTTGTGAGTTTATGCACTAAAACTTAGGACCATATCATAATAAATATGTGCGTGATGAAAGTTGGGCAGCACGCTGACATCCTTACTCCACTCTGTGCTCGTGTGGGTCTGACCCTTTCACTCCTTTGATTTTTTCCTCCTCCTTTTTTTGCCTTTTCGTCACGTCTGTCTTTGTACGGAGCTGCCGTGCTCTCCGTCGTTTCGTACATAACTGTTTTTGGGGCAAAAAAATTGTAGGTATGGATTAAAACTGTAGAATCAATGATAACTGGTGCTGGAAATGCTTGATGCAGTGTTTTGATTCTGCTGCTACTCGTAGCTACAATGCAATGCGCGAAAGTCCCGTGGTCTGTCGATCTCTATAGGTCAACCACTCAGCCCACACAACCTCCCAGCAGGACCAGCAGGGGGCACCTCTGCTCTGTGGCAGGAGCAGACCTCTGTCACCCACAGTCTGTGTCCACCTAACAAACACTGTGTACAGGTGAAGCCCAAATCCCAACACCCCCCCACCACCACCACTCTCCCCCGTGACTATAGTATCATTTGTCTATAAATTTGTTATTATAAGTACATCTCTGCATAACATTGTATCCTTATTAACATTAACGAAAACAAAAGAAAAAGGAAAGAAATATAGATTCAATTAAAACAAAGAATAACTTTATTAACATTTTTATTTTAGTCCGTAACAGAAAATATTTAATGTGCATATAGTAGTGCTGCAACTCTCTAAACTACTACAACACTTAAAGTAAATCAATTTGCCTGAAATTAAAAAAAAATCTCATTTAAACTATAAACATCTTTTGACCGACTTGAACCGATTTTGATTCTGAAAAATAAAATTAGATTTAAATTGATCAGCAACATTAACTACTCAGTAGTCTCCCACCATAGTCACAGTGACGCCAAGCGCTGCAAATGCTTGGTCATATTGTCATCACTGGATTTAAATCTTACTGGTATTAATGGTAGAGACCAGCAGGGGCGGATCTACGGTGGTGGCACAGGGCAGTATGTGCCACCCTGGTCGATGCTTTGAGGAGGTCCAGCTACAGTTAACATTGGATATGAATGATAAAACTGAGTATATTGCATAACGTTACCTCTGGTAACCCCCGGCTGGTAAAAACCTCTGGAGAATCACCAGCCTGCTGCTCCAACATCAATGCTTTGCTCCTCCAACCTTTCCCAGCCCTCTGGTGCCCCCTGCTGCATATGAATGGTCCCAGTCAAACCCTGGCTGCATTAGCAGCAGGTGTGTGTGCATTTGCATGTTTACAGGTTGAGTGTGTGTTGGGATGTTCTCCACACATTTCAGAGCTCCCAACACTTTTATTAGAAAACGACAGCATGCTGCCAGCATTTCT